TAACTCCAAAACTGCCAGGCAATCCGGGGAGGAACCAGTTGTCTTGGGTCGTCTCTCGGTTGTTCTGGTGGCCAACTCTCCGTGCCGACATCGCCTCTTATGTAGCGGCATGTTCGATCTGTGCCCAGAATAAATCTCCACGGCATCTTCCAATGGGTCTTCTGCAACCCATTCCCAATGGGGAGCGTCCTTGGTCACACCTGGGCATGGACTTTATTGTAGACCTCCATGTGTCTCGGGGTCATACGGTCATTCTCATGGTCGTTGATCGTTTTTTCCAAAATGTGCCATTGTATTCCACTCAGGAAATTACCAACAGCGCAAGAACTGGCCACGGTCTTTTCCAGGGAGATTTTTTGCCTGCATGGGTTGCCCAAGGTGATTGTCTCGGACCGCGGGAGTCAGTTCGTGTCCAGATTCTGGCGCGCCTTCTGCTCCCAGTTGGGTATTAGTCTCTCCTTTTCTTCAGCCTACCACCCGCAGTCCAATGGGGCTGCGGAGCGTTCCAATCAGGCCTTAGAACAATTCCTTCGGTGTTATATCTCGGACCATCAGGGCGATTGGGCCGATCTCCTGCCTTGGGCAGAGTTTGCCAGGAACTCAGCGGTCAACTCCTCCTCCGGGATGTCTCCCTTCATGGCCAACTATGGGTACCAACTCGCGGTATTACCTGAGAGGTTCTCACCACAGGACATTCCGGCTGTGGAGAACCATCTTGCTGCCCTGCGTTCTTCATGGGGGCAGATCCAGAGGGCTTTGAGGGACTCGGCTCAGCGTCAGAAGTTCCAGGCTGATCGCAGACGGTTGCCCGCTCCTTCATACCAGGTCGGCGATCGGGTGTGGTTGTCTACTCGTAACCTCAATCTTCGGGTGCCCACACCCAAACTAGCTCCCCGTTTTGTTGGTCCTTTTCGCATTCTCCGCAAGGTGAATCCAGTGTGGCCTATGCCCTTCCACCTGGGATGCGGATCTCCAATATCTTTCATGTATCACTGTTGAAACCTCTGATCTGCAATCGCTTCACTACCTCTCTGCCTCGGCCCCGTCTCATTCGGGTTGACGGTCATGAGGAGTATGAGGTGAGCCGGATCCTGGACTCTCGATTGGTGCGCGGTCGATTACAGTTCCTGCTCATTGGCGCGGTTATGGTCCCGAGGAGCGTTCCTGGGTTCCTTCCGCGGATGTCCATGCTCCTGCCCTCCTCCGCGCTTTTCATACCCACTTTCCTCAGAAACCTTTTGTTGAGCTGTGGAGGGGGAGGGGCCCTTGAGGAGGAGGTACTGTCAAGGTCCTACCTTTTCCCAGAGGTTATGTTACTCCATGTGCTGGCATCCATCTTGGATTTATGCTAAGCATGGTGGGAAGCTTTTATGCCTTCAGGTCTCTGAGGTCCATCCCCCAGAGGGGTGTGGCTGAGTACATATAAGCCTGTGATCCGCACATGCTCTTTGCACTTGTGTCTTGGTCTTGCTACAGCTCTGTGTATATGCTCGTGACTCTTCTGGTATTTGACTCGGCTTGTGACTAGACCATTCTCTGTGTTTTCCTTCGATCTGACCTTCCGTTGCTGAACCCGGCCCGTGACCTGTGATTCTCTGTCTACTGTTCTGTACTGTTTTGTCCCGTTGTTTAACTTTTTTGTTGACCCAGCTTGCCTGACTACGCTATTGTCATTCTCACCAGCTACACACCATTGGCGGCGGTGGCCATTACCGCAGCCGGGGTGTCTCGGGGGCCGCGACCTGGTACCTGGCTGCGTCAAGTCCATCCCCACCATCAGGGGCCCTGGTGAAGGGCAGCCTGGGTCTTAGATTCCGCGCCCTGAGGGACTTCGGTCTGTTGGTGGTGGTTGTCGTCAGCCAGTGCGTTACCCTGCCACTAGGCCTACCTGTCTGTTCCACAGCCCTGCCTTGACACAAACCTTCTACATAAATTACTTCTCTTTTATGATGGGAAGGATTTCCTTTTAAAAGTGTAACCTCTGCTCCAGTATCAACTAAAGCCATCACATGTTTAGGAGAAGATGACTTCCCCCACCATACAGTGAAAGGTGCATATGGGCATTGGTCTCCTACATGAGGACTTACTGTTTATTTTCCTCCTGTCTAGCCTTGACCTTATCTACTGCCCTGACAGGTTTTGTTTTAGTCTCCTCTAAGCTCTACCAACTGGCTTAAAAGGATAGTGGCTTCATGAATCTTGCTGTTTTATCCCAGGCCTCCCAACAAGGACAATAAAGGAGTCCTGAGATTAAGTGGTGCAGGCTTCATCAGCTTAGAGCACAGAGCATTCATAAAGGGTTCCATGTCTGGACCCATCCATTCTGGAAACTTAGATAATCTGGTTGTACAAACCATCTCAGGTAACCTGAAAATACTCTCTCCTATTGTTCTCCACAAGTAGGTATTTTCCAGGTCACTAGGACTAGTGTATACTCGGACTATCCCATCTCTCCCAAGGTCTAACAGCAAAAAAATCACAGTAAATGCTTGGGCTTTTTTTCATAGCCTGACGTAATTGTGGATCGTGGGTTAACACTCCCATAGCCCCTGATTCCTTGCCTTACAACACTGTATGCCCCTTCATCCCACATAGTAGGAGCTTTCTGGACCTCTGTTTGTATTGTTTTGCCAGCGCATGAAGTTCTGGTTGTGTAAACTCCGTTACTTCTTCAAATTCCACATCTCTCTGGTTTATACATTACATTTAAATGCGGGTGGGAGATGTGAGTTAATTGCACCTCACCCCTTGTAACATATAAGAATAATTGAAACAAGGAGTGAGGTTTTCTAGGTGCATATATTACATGCCACCACTAAACATCTATTAAAATATTACAGTTTATTTTAAGCAATACATAAAAAATTCTAAAAGAAAACTGGTTTAGTTCCATAGTATATATCCAGTATATGCCATTTGATGGTTATGAATTGAGATCCTCAAACATAGGCTCTTCTACATGTTTCGCCAACTTGGCTTCTTCAGAAAACAGACATGTTCATGAGGTACTACTAAAGATACAAAGACACAAGTAAGAAATTATCCAACAACAATAATAACACTGTATACAGTCAGGTCCATAAATATTGGGACATCAACACAATTCTAACCTTTTTGGCTCTATACACCACCACAATGGATTTGAAATGAAACGAACAAGATGTGCTTTAACTGCAGACTGTCAGCTTTAATTTGAGGGTATTTACATCCAAATCAGGTGAACGGTGTAGGAATTACAACAGTTTGCATATGTGCCTTCCACTTGCTAAGGGACCAAAAGTTTTGGGACAATTGGCTTCTCAGCTGTTCCATGGCCAGGTGTGTGTTATTCCCTCATTATCCCAATTACAATGAGCAGATAAAAGGTGCAGAGTTCATTTCAAGTGTGCTATTTGCATTTGGAATCTGTTGCTGTCAACTCTCAAGATGAGATCCAAAGAGCTGTCACTATCAGTGAAGCAAGCCATCATTAGGCTGAAAAAACAAAACAAACCCATCAGAGAGATAGCAAAAACATGGCCAAAAAAACTGTTTGGAACATTCTTAAAAAGAAGGAACGCACCGGTAAGCTCTGCAACACCAACAGACCCGGAAGACCACGGAAAACAACTGTGGTGGATGACCGAAGAATTCTTTCCCTGGTGAAGAAAACACCCTTCACAACAGTTGGCCAGATCAAGAACACTCTCCAGGAGGTAGATGTATGTGTCAAAGTCAACAATCAAGAGAAGACTTCACCAGAGTGAATACAGAGGGTTCACCACAAGATGTAAACCATTGGGGAGCCTCAAAAACTGGAAGGCCAGATTAGAGTTTGCCAAACGACATCTAAAAAAGCCTTTACAGTTCTGGAACAACATCCTATGGACAGATGAGACCAAGATCAACTTGTACCAGAATGATGGGAATAGAAGAGTATGGAGAAGGAAAGGAACTGCTCATGATCCTAAGCATACCACCTCATCAGTGAAGCATGGTGGTGGTAGTGTCATGGCGTGGGCATGTATGCCTGCCAATGGAACTGGTTCTCTTGTATTTATTGATGATGTGACTGCTGACAAAAGCAGCAGGATGAATTCTGAAGTGTTTCGGGGCAATATTATTTGCTCATATTCAGCCAAATGCTTCAGAACTCATTGGACGCTGCTTCACAGTGCAGATGGACAATGACCCAAGGCATACTGCAAAAGCAACCAAAGAGTTTTTTAAGGGAAAGAAGTGGAATGTTATGCAATGGCCAAGTCAATCACCTGACCTTAATCCGATTGAGCATGCATTTTCACTTGCTGAAGACAAAACTGAAGGGAAAATGCCCCAAGAACAAGCAGGAACTGAAGACAGTTACAGTAGAGGCCTGGCAGAGCATCACCAGGGATGAAACCAGTGTCTGGTGATGTCTATGCGTTCCAGACTTCAGGCTGTAATTGACTGCAAAGGATTTGCAACCAAGTATTAAAAAGTGAAAGTTTGATTTATGGTTATTATTCTGTCCCATTACTTTTGGTCCCTTAACAAGTGGGTGGCACATATGCAAAACTGTTGTAATTCCTACACCGTTCACCTGATTTGGATGTAAAATACCCTCAAATTAAAGCTGACAGTCTGCAGTTTTAAAGCACATCTTGTTCGTTTCATTTCAAATCCATTGTGGTGGTGTATAGAGCCAAAAAGGTTAGAATTGTGTCGATGTCCCAATATTTATGGGCCCTGACTGTAACATGCATGTAGACAAAGGGGGATCAAACCTCCCCTACCACCCAATCTGCCATGTCCCCACACACCTCAGACCCAACACTCCAAGGATTCGACCAGATGGCATTATAGGAGGAAAACCCATTGGGTCCACAGGGGTGGATCCACAGTGGCACAAGGGTTAGGGCAAACCGCAGAGGGGATATAGTTACCAAAGAATAATCCTGATAAAATAAATCATTATTAGCTATAACAAAATTGAAACATACGTATTTTATATTTGTAATTCATTATATATATTATTATATATATATATATATTGTGGGAACTCGCTTCAAAAATGGGTAGAGCTCTTCTTGTAAAGCACACAGCAACTCGCTTTCTTTTTCAGGGCTTTTTTGCCCACTTTTATTTAAGAAAGTTCAAACAACAAAAATGCTTCCCACGCTAGGGGTATATCCACCATCAAGCAAAACAATATTCAGCCTCCTGGCTTGTACGCAGTTTTAAGTCTGCCTCCTGCAGACTCTTCCCAAAATATGGCACTAGCACACCACTTGTCTGGCTTCCACCTGACTCCAAGGCAGAGACCTCCCGTCTGCCGGGGTGGTTGAGCCCTCCTGACTCCTAACTGCTGGGGTGGAGCCCAGAACTATGGTTAGGCCTCTACAAAAAAGGTCTGCACACACCTGTGCAATCAGTGTGCTGGGGGGTTCTCAAAACATGAAACCCCGGATTGGAGATTTCATCCCTCCCAGATCTCTTCGAAATTCTCAGGCTCCAGATCCAAAAACAAACTTACTGAATAAATGAGGAAACGAAAAAGTCAGTTTCCTCTGCAATTACATTAACTCTCTGGAGCCCCTCAACCTGCCTGGTTGAGAATCCAGGGTTTTCGACTTGAGTTTGACCGTGGCAGGACACCGCACTGCCACATATCCCCCCCTTTGTTTTGACCCCGTAGGGGGCGGAACATCACAAACCTAAAACCCTTGCTTTAGACCTTCTGTGTGGGCTATCACCTGTAAAGGGGGCCAAATCCTGGCTGACTTTATTTTCATTCAAAGGGAGACACTACTCCCTGCCCAAGAGGGTGACTTCCCCTGTCTCCCCTAACTTGGGCTCTACTACTTCCCCAGTGCCTTTTTACGAGTGCGCTTCCAAAAGAAAAAAAAAAAAAAAAAAAAAAAAAAACGCGGTCTTTCTAATTTTCTTAAGGGACTATGCTAGTCCTTTTACCACTAGGGGGTTTACAAATCTCAGTACCCTTTGTAATCTGGGGTTGACTCCTAAGCTTTAAATGCCCTGGTACCTGTCATATTACAACGTGCTCTCTCAAATTCCTTGGACCATCCCTTTTTGCTTCATTTACTTTTACAGGGGATATATTTTTAAACCCTTTAGTAACAGGACATGGGGCCTCTTTTATTGTGGCATCAAACTCGTTTAGAACATCCCCTCGTTAAGCTTTGGGCCATTTGACCTTAGACCTTTCATTCTTATAACTTGGGGCGTTTAGTGGACCTTTGGAAAACTTTTCCAGAGTGACCTTCCTTACATAATTCTGCATTTGGGTAGACGACCCCAAACCACATCACATTTACATGCGTTTCTTCCGGCACTTCTGCCCAAAACCTCTGTCCTGTCCAACAGTACTCTGGTGTGCCTCTCATTACAGATTACTGCTATGAAGCAACCCAGCAATGCACTGAAAGACAATTTTCACCATCACCAACAAGGATGGTATCACAGAATTTCCTATATTGACCATCTTTTGTTTTGTATAGCCTGTAATACCCAGCTCCGATTAGCGGGACTCCACTGTACCAGCTCTCCCGAACATGGAAGAGACAGTATGGTATACACCGGCTGTACACTCCAGAAGGCTAACATTTCCTTCAGCAGGTCTGTTATAAAAAGACAGCCTGATTCCACACATAAGACCTTCCTGGGGACATGGAGACACTCATTTACTGATGCCTCTGAGGTGGTGCTTCTTAACGAGGCTTCAGGTACCCAACACAATAACCTGGGGCTCTCTCAGAGCGTAAACCAGGTGTGGGATTCACCCAAATTACTCTGAGGCTCAGTGTCAATGAGCTCTTCCACGGACTTCTCTATGGATATCAGTTTGGTTACTACACCATTAACTCCTTTATGGGCTGTGGGCAAAACTTCTGCTGAGCGTTTATTCCTTTAAACGGTTTGCCTTTTACCAGCAGTGGGTTAATTTTGGGCAGTGACAGGGCGCGACCTGGACTAAAAACAGCTGCTCCACAGTCCCTCTTTTTCAGCACCAGCAGAAGTTGTGTCACTTCATTGTTGGCAACAGAGGTATCTTTTATTAATGCCAACAAGCTTGTGCCCATCTGTCCCAGTCCATTCTTCCCTGTGATCCCATCAGATGGTACTACGCAGTACCACTCCAAACCGCTGAAGGAGGACACAGAGCGGACAGTGTGGGCTCTGTATCAGACCATTACCTAGATTCTTCATTATGCATATCACACTGGGAGACTCCTTTTTCTATAGGCACAGCAGGTTGCAATTTCACACTCTCACCCACCGTGTGACCTGGAGTGGCGTGTCATTCACTGCAAAACTTTAGCATTAGTGGATTGCATTGACCCATCATTATGAATACATTCATACCTTTTAGATTCACCATTGCCAACACTGAAATAACAAATTCTCACCACTCAATTCAGATACAGTCTGGTCCACCAGAGCAACACCATTAGTTATCCTGGGTTACCTTAACCACTGTTGCTAGGGGAGATAACACATCCTGCTTAGTGGTCACCCCTACTACATTTAATTCAGCATTCTCTTCAGAGGGACATTGGTGCAACCCCAATATCCGTACTCTTCACATTGACATTTTTTAACCGTTGCACCTCCCACTAAACAGAGCATTATTACAGAGGCAAGTCTTTCTCATGATCACCAGTAGTGGGTTTCCCAACTGGGAGTATCCATATTTATAGCAGAGTGTCTCAAGTTCAGTCTCAATTCAGTGCATTAGTGTCTCTCACATTTATCCCAAAAGTACCAGTCTTACCCACCACTGTAACAAGCTTCACCTTCACTTGAGTGCGTTGGGATCTGGATCCTTTCGGTCATCTCTCTGCTGCTTGGCTTTGGCCAGCCAGTTCATCCATGCAGCTACAGGATGATACTGTGGCAGGCACTTCTGGACTCCTTGGCACCCCCCTGTAGGCACAAACAGGTACTTCCTCACTGTTGCTAGAGGTGGCTTGCCAACATTTTTAAACATGAATCTGGCTTGCAGATGAAGACTTTTGCCCAGTAGCACTCTCATCAGTGGGTATTCCATAATCGGGGGCAGGTAAAGATACCATGCCCAAACTGACCACATTCCAGGCAGGGTATGGTTCCACCGACAACCTTCTTGGGATATGGAACACATCTCCTCTTGTAGCCCCTTCTCCTGGTTGGCAGGCTTTCTCTCTGTTGCTATGGGAGATGGCACTCTCCCAGCGGAAATTTGTGGGTTCCTCCAGATGCGCTGAACTCTCATCTCTGCGTTGCCACAATCCTCTGTAGATGACACTTCTCTCACAGGGTCCGCAGGCCTGAAGTCACATGTGTTGCTATGGGCAACCACATTCTTCTGAAACTTTTGGGCAGCCTGCTGCTCCTTCCTGGAACTCCAAGCAGGCTTCCCAATTGCATACCCAGACCTTTGTCTGGTTCTGTCACCTTGTACTGGAAGCTGGGATAAAGGGCACTTGGAGACAGTGTGCCCCCATTCACTGCACCGCAAACAGCGCTCTTGCGGCAGTATCTTGGCCGAACTTCCAACACTGCATCCTCTTTCAGGCTTAGTACTCTGCACACAGAAAACTGGTTTCCTTTCACCAGCATTGCCAGGGACAACAGCATGCACTTTCCACTGTGGCAAACTCTGTGCAGCCATGTATGGGGCTTGTTCTGGTGGTAACAACCCCTCCAGCCACAGGGCTCTGTCTCTCATTTCAGAAAAGCTTGCTTCTTTTTTGAGTTTTGACCGCCCCATCTTTGCAGTCACTCCACAACACTTTTGCACAGTCCAGGTACACAATGGAGCACTGTCTCTTTAAGGCAAGTTCCTTTTCTCTTGCAGGATCTCCTCACCTGCACACACTGATAGTGCAGAGTCATGCACAAAACACAGTTCAACACATGAACTTACTTCCTTGCTGGGATCTCTAGTTCTGCCCACGGCATCCTCCACCATATGTGGGAACTCGCTTCAAAGGAAAGAGCTCTTCTTGTAAAGCACACAGCAACTCGCTTTCTTTTCAGGGCTTTTTTGTCCACTTTTATTTAAGAAAGTTCAAACAACAAAAATGCTTCCCACGCAGGGGTATCCACCATCAAGCAAAACAATATTCAGCCTCCTGGCTTGTACGCAGTTTTAAGTCTGCCTCCTGCAGACTCTTCCCAAAATATGGCACTAGCACACCGCTAGTCTGGCTTCCACCTGACTCCAAGGCAGAGACCTCCCGTCTGCCGGGGTGGAGCCCTCCTGACTCCTAACTGCTGGGGTGGAGCCCAGAACTATGGTTAGGCCTCTACAAAAAGGTCTGCACACACCTGTGCAATCAGTGTGCTGGGGGTTCTCAAAACATGAACCCCGGATTGGAGATTTCATCCCTCCCAGATCTCTTCGAAATCTCCAGGCTCCAGATCCCAAAACAAACTTACTGAATAAATGAGGAAACCGAAAAGTCAGTTTCCTCTGCAATACATTAACTCTCTGGAGCCCCTCAACCTGCCTGGTTGAGAATCCAGGGTTTTCGACTTGAGTTTGACCGTGGCAGGACACCGCACTGCCACAATATATATATATATAGCATCACTGTATATTGCCATAAAATGATACTAAAAAAGTGCAAAGAAACAGTTCACTAGGGGGAGCCAGAGTACTGCGATGACCGTAAGCAATGGGGCCTATTCACTGGAAGAATCATAAAAAGATGTTATAGAGAACAGCAATGGGCTATTGAGAAAGTTGAATATTCTGGCCTAATATAATTAAATCTAATTTATGGTGGAGTTCAATAACTCACCAAAATATACTGTATTAAAAGTAAATGTTAGAGACAAATGCATATAATGCATATGATAAAGAAGGGGAGGTTAATTTCTATAAACATTGCCATTACGTCCAAAATAATCCATAATGAATATAAATAAAATACCTTATCGCAAGAGCTAGATCTCAAGTGTGCCATAAGAGGGCCGGCTCTGGTTCTATGAATTGAAGTAAAATAATACTAACTGTATAAACAATGAGCCCTTCAAATGAATATAATATATATATATATTTAAAAAATCTCAAAGTTATTGCTAATTGAAACAAAATGGATATATTAGTTGTATGCTTTAAAATCAGATATTAAACCATTTTTATCAGATTTAAACCATTTTTATGAAATTATCCTGTAACAAACCACTTTGGTCAGTTAAGATGGGCAGATCTCATATCCAAGATAAACTTATTTTCAAAATCATTTGTATTAATATTGGTTAACAATGTATGTAAATTTTTTGTTTCGTTATAGGTAACTTTTTTGAATGGTAATGTTTTTTTTTTTACAAGTCAGCTTGTGTAAACAGTTTGCAATAGTATTTGTTTAAGAAAGTGTCCACTCAAACACTCAAAGATTTCTGTTTCTAAGACAAGCAAACAAACAGATCCTTTCATGTAAGTCTGAGGAAAAAAAAAAAATCATAAAACAGACATATATACAGTTGTGTTGAAAATAATAGCAGCGTGTTGAAAAAAGTGAATAAAGCTCAAAATCCTTCTAATAGCTTTTATTTCCATACACACAAATGCATTGGGAACACTACACATTCTATTCCAACTCAAAAACATGAAGAAAAATATATCAAATTTGTGTTGTTCCTCTAAAAAAATTGAAGAAAAGTGAATATTAGACTGTTCAAAAAAATAGCAGTGTTTTGTTTTCTTCTTTACAAACTCAAAACATTCACTATATAAACTGAAAAATGTTTGAAGATTTTGCTTTCCTTTGAATCACTTAATTAATATTTAGTTGTATAACCACTGTTTCTGAGAACTACTGTACATCTGTGTTGCATGGAGTCAACCAACTTCTGGCACCTGTGAACAGGTATTCCAGCCCAGGATGATTGGACTACATTCCACAGTTCTTCTCTATTTCTTGCTTTTGTTTTCATTTTTGATGTCACCCCACAAGTTTTCTATTGGATTAAGATCTGGGGATTGGGCTGGCCACTCCATACCGTCAATCTTGTTGGTCTGGAACCAAGATGTTGCACGTTTACTGGTGTGTTTGGGGTCGTTGTCTTGTTGGAACACTCATTTCAAGGGCATTTCCTCTTCAGCATAAGGCAGCATGACCTCTTTAAGTATTCTGATGTATTCAAACTGATCCATGATCCCTGGTATGCGATAAATAGGCCCAACACCGTAGTATGAGAGCATACAAATAAAGAAAATATAGATGCCGTGCTCTATCAAGACCTATTACCTGTATATAGTATAAAAACTGTATTTGCATTAAATCTCTAATAGCTGCATAACCTCTTATGTGTAACCATACATGATTGATTGTAATGCCAATCAATACCCAATTTTTTTATATTTAATTTTTTATATTTTTTTATATTTAATTTTTTTATACTGTAGTATGAGAAACATCCCCATATCATGATGCATGCTTCACTGTATTCACAGTGTACTGTGGCTTGAATTCAGTGTTTGGGGGTTGTCTGACAAACTGTCTCTGGCCACTAGACCCAAAAAGAACAATCTTACTTTCATCAGTCCACAAAATGTTGCACCATTTCTCTTTAGGCCAGTCAATGTGCTCTTTGGCAAATTGTAACCTCTTCAGCACATGTCTTTTTTTCAACAGTGGGACTTTGCGGGGGCTTCTTGCAGAATAGCTTGGCTTCACATAGGCGTCTTCTGATTGTAACAGTACTCACAGGTAACTTTAGACCTTCTTTGATCTTCCTGGAGCTGACTGATGGCTGAGTCCATGCCATTTTGGCTATTCTTCTATCCATTTGAATGGTAGTTTTTCGCTTTCGCTCCTCGTCTTTCAGGTTTTGGTTGCCATTTTAAAGCATTTGCGATCATTTTAGCTGAGCAGCCTATCATTTTCTGCACTTCTTTATATGTTTTCCCCCTCCCCAATCAACTTTTTAATCAAGGTACGCTGTTCTTCTGAACAATGCCTGGAACAACCCATTTTCCTCAGAAATTCAGAGAGAAATGCACTGTAACCAGCATGTACAACATTTGCTGCCTTCCTTCCTTAAATAAGGGCAATAATTGCCACCTGTTTTTCAAAGAATGAATGACCTCACTAATAGAACTCCACACTGCTATTATTTTGAACATGCCCCTTTCAATTAGTGATTCAATTACACAGAATCAGCAGCATGCATGCCATGACTGTTGGGTCTGTTGGATTTCTATTACTCTACTACACCTGCTAGTAAATTATTTGCCATATAGAAAATATAATTTCTACCAAAAACAGTGATTGATCAGGTTAGTGATGTCTGACTGCTATTATTTTGAACACTGTATATATCAAACGCAACACAACTGTTGATTTTGTACATTTTTGTGATTGTCAATTTTTTTAAAAAAAAAATTCAAATAAAAAACGATTTTTTTAAAAACCCTTTCTTTTTTTTTAAAACCCCTCGGGCCCCCCCAAAAAATTTTTTTTGGTTTTTTACCTTTTTTTTTAAAAAAAAAAATTTTTCCATTAAAAATTTTTTAAAAAAAATTTATTTTTTTTGGGGGGTTTTTTTTTTTGGGGGAAAAAAAAAATTTTTTTTTTTTTGGGGGGAAAAAAAACCCAATTTTGGGGAAAAACCACTTTTGGGCCCCCCTTTTTAAAAAAAACCCCGGGGCCCCTTTTTTTTTTTTAAAAAAAAAAGGGGGGGGGGGGGTTTTTTCCCCCCAAAAAAAGGGAAACCCCCGGGGGGTTTTTTTTTTTTAAAAAAAAATTTTTTTTCCTTGTTTTTTTGTTTTTTTTTGGGTTTTTTTTTTAAAACCTTTTTTTGGGGGGGGGTTTTTTTTTTCCGGAAATTTTTTAAAAAAAAACCCCCCCGGGGGGGTTTTAAAAATTTCCCGGGAAAAAGCCCTTAAGGGCCCCCCCCCCCCCTTTTTTTTTTTTTTTTTTCCCGGGGGGTTTTTTCCATTAAAAATTTTTTTTTTTTCCTTTTTTTCCCCCCCCCCGGGGGGTTTTTTGGGGGGGGAAAAAAAAAACCCCACGGGGAAAAACCCCCCCCCTTTTTTTTTTTGGGGGCCCGGGTTAAAAATGGGGGGGGCCCCCCCTTTTTTTTTTTGGGGGGGGGGGGGGGGGTTTTTTTCCCCCCCAAAAAAAAAAAAAATTTTTTCCTGGGGGAAATTTTTTTTTTTTTTTCCCCCCCCTTTTTTTTTTAACCCCCCCCTTTTTTTTCCCCCCCCTTTTTTTTCCCTTAAATAAAAAAAAATTCTTTTTTAAAAAAAAACCCCCAAAAAAGGGGGGGGGGGTTTTTTTCCCCCTTTTTTTTTTTTTTTTAAAAAAAAAACCTTTTTTAAATAAAAACCCCCCCCCCTTTTTTGGGGGGTTTTAATTTCCCTTTAAAAAAACCCTTTTTCCCGGGGGCCCAAAATTGCCCCCCCCCCCTTTTTTTTTTTTGGGGTTTTTAAAAAAAAATTTTTTTTTTTCCCCCCCTTTTTTTTTTGGGGGGTTTTCCCAAAAATTTTTTTCCCCTTTTTTTTTTTTTCCCCCCCGGGTGGAATAAACCCCCAAGGGGGGGTTTTTTTTAAAAAAAAGGGGGGCAAAATTTTTTTCCCCCGGGGGAAAAAAAATTTTTTTTTTCCCCCGGGGGGGGGGGGGGGTTTTTTTTTTTTTTCCCCCTTTAATTGGGGGGTTTTTTTTTCCCCCTTTGGGGGCCCTTTTGGGTTTTTTGTTTTCCCTTTTTTGGGGGATTTTTTCCCCTTTTTTTTGACCCTTTTTTTGGGGTTTTTTCCCCCCCCCCCCCCTTTTTTTTTTGGGGGGGTTTTTTTTTCCCCTTTTTTTTTTCCCCCTCCGGCCCCCGGGCCCCCCCCGGGTTGGGGGGCCCCCCGGGTGGGGGGAAAAAACCCCCTTTTGGGGGAATTTTTTTTTTGGGGGCCCTTTTTTATTTCCCAAAAAAGGGGTTTTTCATTTCCCCCTTCGGGGGGATTTTTTTCCCCCTTTTTTTTTGGGGGTTTTTTGGGGGGGGGGTTTTTCCCCGGGGTTTTTTTGGGGGGGAAAAAAGGGGGGGGAAAAAAACCCCCCGGGGGCCCCCCCTTTAAGGGTTTATCCCCCCCCCCCCTTTTTTTTGGGGTTTTAAATTTTCCCCCCCCGGGGGCCTTTGGTGGTTTTTTTAAACCCCAAAAAAACCCCTTTTTTTTTTTTTGGGAAAGGGGTTTTTCCACCCTTTTAAAAAAAATTCCCAATTTTGGCTTTTGGGGGAAAATTTTAAAAAAATTTTTTTTTTCCGGGGGTTTTTTTTCTTCCCCCCCCCCGGGGGGGGTTAACCCAA